TTGAAAAATTTTCTTCCTTTTTGAATTGAAATACAGCTGAGACTGGAGTCGGTTATGCATGGTACAGTTACTTCTCTTAATCCTTACTATACAATTAATTGATTGCTGAACTGATCTGAGTGCCCCACAGTCTGTACTACAATTAGCTGCAATTTTCACCAATCTAGTTGTTTTTATGTAAGAACAGATGCTTACTGCAGTACCAAAAAGCTTGGTTATTTTGAATGCATGGATGAGAAAAGAAATACATACCACAAATAGTTTTGTTAGAAAAATAAGAAGGTAATCTACACAGAAGCTATACAAGCTGTATGAAAAGTTTAAGTAGTAGTAAGTCTTTGCACTCAGCTGAGGAGGATTAATTTTGCCATTTGCAAGGTGAGGAGGGACTATACACCGTGCCCTCACTTTCCCCAAATACTGCTAGTAGTGGAGTCTGCATAATAATTAACCTACCAATATGCCTCACACTTTAAAACGGATTTTCATTGGCGTAACATTGACATACTATTCCTTTCCAGAAAGCAGATAGTACACAGATAACTGTACTAGTAACGGTGCCCTTAGATACTTTGTGGACTGGAGATGAAGTTTAATAAGCTGCAGAGGTGAAGTTTGAAAAGCAGTAGAGAAACTGAAATGGACACAAACTTCCAGTTAAGTTTGTCATTTTTGCATTTAAAAAGACGACATAATTGTTTAGAAACATGTTCCAAGCTGAAGACATGAGTTTATTGAATGTCTGAGACGTTTGCATTTGAATACAGTAAAATAAAAAAAACTACCACCAACACATCCCGAACAGTTTATACGAGAGTCTCCAGTATTCCTATAACACAGTTTACAAAAAAGAAAATACTACATCTAAATATGAAGGTTATGTTCCACTTGAAATACGCACAATTAGAGAATAGCTTCATAAGGAGTCGTAACTCAAAATGAGAGCAATAAACTACTAGAATACAGTTTTGTTAAAAGCTTGATTTCCATGTAAACTTCCCTCCTATTTAAAAGATCTGCTCAGGCAAGAAAACAATTGGTTTCTAGTAAACAAAATATCTAATCTATGGCAGTTAGCTCTGTCTTTTAACATAGAATACGCGTCTGGGCTATGGAAGTGCCCTTAAGAATTACATAAGTAGCTGTATAATGTTTTTTAAAGGTCTGTTTTCCTCAAACTATGCCTATGTTTCTAGTAAACTTAAGTAAACTACCATCTACCTACTACTGGTTTTAACAGATTTGTCAACAAGTGTAGCAGTGTTAGAGAGTACTGAAAACAATTTACGCACATTTCATGCATCTTTTTTGGTTTGCAGGAGGATTTTTTTGGTACAGATTAGTTGTATAACAGGAAAGGAAACTGTCATGATCTGAGAGATAGTTGTACACTAGCAGTTATGTAGTTTCTGTTTAAAATTCCTGTGGAGGACAGAAATGGATAATACCACACTTCTATTAACATCAGCTAAAGTATGATCTTTGTATTAATTCTTTTACCCATTAAAACACTTCAAAGAGATTATAATTAACAGTAGGAAATAAAAGTAAGTACCGTAACTGTGAAATAGCTCATATGAATCGTATTCAATAACAGTACTCAAGCTTTAAAATCTGAAATTTCCTTAAACACAAAAAAATCAGTTTAATAACTCTACTATGGATGTATGGAAAACAAAGCCTGCTTCTCCTAATTTAACCTATTAAATATGGCCTACTTATACTTCAATAAAAGGGTGTCAGACATCACTCTGAGCAGAATTTGAAGCATTCGGAGCTTTCAGAAATGGCCACGCTATTTGTATTTTTATTTAATCCAAGCCTTACTGATAAACAATACAACTAATCATAACAAAACTAAGGTCATTTGCCGTTTACAGTTAAATACAGCAGAGCCAAGCCTGAATTAGAACTGTGTCACCTAACCCATCCCTTTAAAAATCAATTCTTTCATAATTCTCAATGAAGATTTTAAGACATCTTTCATCTTTCTTGCCTGTCAGGCAAATCACTATTTGTGCAAATTTAAATACAGTACATCGACCTTAATGTGACAGCGGACAGATAGTGAAGGAAGAAGCGTTCAACAAATCTGCTGCACAGTAAGACTTTTTCAGAGTGCAGAGTATGTGTACAATAAAGTGCTTCTCAAGTTATATGGATAATAGTGTAGATGTTTACTTAGTTTTAAAGCTTAAATTGCTCAGTAAATAGTTTAATCTCCCTGTACCTCCCCAATCCCACAAGGCACATTCAAAATACAAGCGAAGCACTAACTAACTGTGAAGGATTAAGCTACAATAAAGAGTTCTAAGTGGCAGTAAGCTACTGACGACCAGGTCTGTAAACAGTACCACCCCACTGCATCCCAAGGGTCACGCGTTACCGAAGTGAGCTGCTGTGGAAGCAGCTTCTGAACTCCACATTTACCAACCAAGCCAGCTTTCTTGAGAACACGCTACTGTGCCTTAGTATCTTCATTCGGAATCCCACTTCTTTTGTCACTTGCATGAAAACATGTGTCACATTTAATGCATTTAAGCCTCTAGACTTCATTTACAGTTAACACAACTGATTACTGGCTGGTTTAGGTCTATTTAGTTTATTTTTTTTTTAAATGCATGTGAAGTTCACCTCTACTGTTCAAGCTTACAATGAAGTTATGCTCAGTACTCTTAAGAGAAGGATTTGATTATGTTAAAAAATAGCTGGGCTGTTTTGTGGAGGCCTTAATTTGGACGTGGTATTAATTTGGACTTGATAGAAGTAATTAGCTTCTGTAAGACTAAAATGGTAGGTAGGATCAAATTGAGTAATTCATTTCTTCAGGTTCGTTTAAGACCAACTTTTAGAAGCTTCTTTAGTAAAGAAGTTACAAACAAAGTACATCGCCACAAGTGATCTCCTGCATAAAATACTGAAATGGGACTCACTTAATCGTGCTTCCAAAAACGTTTCACACAACTTAAAAAGCAAGTAATTCCACTACCATCAGGTAGAGTTTACAAAAACAGGCCAAGTGCTCACACAAGGTATACATAGCTAAACATCGCCTTCATACCACAGAAGCAGCAGCTCGATGAGCAAGAGGCATTCCATTGCTTGTCAAAAAAAGGTCACATTGATTTCGTTTTGGCTTTCACAACTCTTGCAACAGAGCAAACAAAACCAGAAGTATCAATGCCAGAGCTCCAGGTTTTCCTCGTGTGTCATTCTAGTCTAGCGTTTTATCACCACCTGCTCATATGCTCCAGATCCTACACTGAAAGAACATTCGAAAGAAGTTAGTTCAATTCCAATTTAAATGAAAGCTAAACAGCAAGTATCACAGATCAGCAAGTTTACTATTTAAAAAACCACCCAAACCACCCCCCCCACCCCTCCAAAAAAAACCCCAACAAAAAACCCCAACCGAACAGCCCGTACCAGAACAGCTAAAGGTGAAGGGTAGAAAACATGCGTAATTACCGCGCCCCTTAGTGCCTTACAGTTTAATGCATTAAAGCGGTTTGTGTTATACTACAGTCAAAATGAAGAATGATAAATACTGTTACTGAAAAAGAAGTTACTGTTGGACTTCTCTGTAGTTCCTAAAGCATAATCTTTTGGGTACCCCTCCCACCCCAGCTCTATCATATGCAGCTAATACTTTTAATATACATTTATACATAAATAGATAAATGGCTCTAAAAAACAGTAAGTGATAGTCTTCTTACATTAAAATACAAGAAAAATGCCTTCCAGTCTTTTGTTCACTCTGAATTGTGAATGCAGAGTTACAAAACTGTCTCACCCCCCACGTGACAGAGCGTGGTGGGTTGTTTTACATGGCAAACTGCAGTACTACGTCAAAAATCAACAGGGCCAAGCTCTGCCGTAGTACAATATTCTGCCTGGACTGTTCTGGCAACTGAATTAGGACAGATCTCTGTATACTACTGCAGTGTGCTCTGTAATCATACGCCTTATCCTAGACAGAAATTAGTGTGCCCAGTTTGCAAATGAGCCAGTGAATTATCTTTTAGCCATCAGCATTGCTTGCTTGTGTAAAACGTATTTGTTTTATAACTCTCAGCACGTGATCAGCTGCCTTTATACCTAGTTCCAGAAGTACTTGCTGAAATACTGATGCTATGCTAATTCTGTGAGATAAAGAAAAATCTTAAGAGTTACACTGGACTGCAGAATCACGGTATTAGAGCATATTCTTACCTGTTTTTAATGTTTTCTCATCTGAGAAGACTCAAACATTCAGCTCAAGTCATATATCAGATTATTTGAAGAGGGTTTAGAGAAGAAAAAAACCTCCCTGGTTCTAAAACTACTACAAGAAGATAATCTGAAGCAGATTATCAGAGAGAGTTTAGGGCTACAAATAGCAAGCCTTTGAAAGAGGAATAGCGTAGCATATGGAAACAGAAGGAGTTTTGGGCAAAACTGAAGTGAAGAAAATTAGGCTTGTTATCAGGAAGACATAAAAGTTTGATACTCTAAAGGTGGATGTGTAAAACACTTCAGACTTTCTTCCAGCTCCAGAGAGTAACGCAGTAAGTCTGTAGAGCTGAGATTTCAAACTGATGCCCGTTTCCGGTGTCCATACCAAAACACTGCTCGTATCTGACAACTTTGGAACTGAGACTCTTCAGAACCTCCGAAAGTTAGAATTCTTATGGCTGACACATCAGTTTTATTTTGGAACTAACCTACGTGTTTTGTTTTAAAACCTGACCATCTGGTTCTTCTGGTGCCTTTAAATGATACAGAATAGAAAGACACAAAGATCAGGAATGTATATACAGAATAATTGCTGTGCAAGATGCATTTTTGTTTAGTATTACCTATGGATTAGTTGTTCAGGCTACATACCTGTTAGGTAGATGATGGCTTCCAAAAGAAGTGCTTCCACCAGGGCCCACAAATAATCTTAAACCTTCTTCTAAAAAGCAAGGGAATTAACATATGTTAGCTTCCTTTAATGTTGCCCTAGCTAAAACTAAGTCAGTTTAAATCTACCAGTTTTGTAACTGATACTTTCAGATGCAAACGTTTTAAGCAATGAAGAACCACACTTCACATGGTATAGGTTGGAGGAACTACCTTCCTCGTAGGTTCGCCCCTGCTCTTTTCTTATCAAGCTTAACGTAATTCTCTGGGAAGGTTACCCTAGTCACGCAAGGGTCCTTTCAACTTCTGGGAGACAGGATGAAGCAGAAAATGTAGCGATCCATATGCACAGTCCTTATCATTACAAGCAACAGGGACTATGAAGAGAGTGGATTTTCCTAAGGCCTGTAATGCGCATCAATTTTCCCTAAGCTTCCTTGTTTATTTCCATACCTTCTGCACTTGAGTCTAAACTGAAGTCTTGACTCTGGAGTATCGTTTCAACTATATCATCAGCATCAACTCTGGTAGCATCAACCCTCTTCAGCTGTGACTCCACAGAGTCTTGCTTTACGGGATGTCTGCAAGAATAAATGTATTTAGAGCTCTTAGAAGTGATACAGTAAATCAGGTTTTACTTCTGCTAGGTAAGGCTTTCAAAGTTAAGCGTGCCTGCAGAGTTTTTCTGATGGTGCATCTTTAACAGATGTATCAATATTAGCTTCAGTTACTTTTGGCTCAGTCTCTTCACAGGGCTCCAGAATACTTCCAATTCCTGTTGAGGTACTACCCACTGAGGTGTTCCTCCTGTGGCAGAGTTCAGACAGGCTGGACGATCTAGAGTGACACGTGCTGTATCCTGTTGGGAAGGCGCAGGAGAACTAGGTTAGGTACGTTCTTGACAGCCACGGTCATTACTTGTATTTTACCATCCTGAAAGCAGAATTTGTGTTTTGTCTTCTTATAAAGAGTCTTCAAAAGCCTTATGAATATATGTGCGTACACCAACTAGGCAATTTACTTTGGGTTTCATATTCTAGCACATGCTGTTTTCTTTTTGTTCTAAATAACTCTTTACTTCCTAACAAATGTAATGACTTGGTGTCATTACTTCCCCTTCAGCTTTTAGAACTAAGTCTCCATTTGCACGTTATTTGTTTTTACACATGGAAGAGGTAAAAATCTCATTCAGATGTGTTAATTGGAGGGAGCTAGGGGAAAAAGCTGTCTCACATCTGAACAGATAATTCATTGTGCTTTTAAGAGGAAAAAAACGTTACCCTCCCCACACCTGAAACTCCTAGGAAAAAGCTTTCAACTTCAAACCGTTTTGTAAAACATATAAAGTCTACTTACTTTCTACGGTCTAAAACTGTGAAAGTAAATAAACCCCAACAATTCATAACAAAATTGTTAACAGCTACCTGACAGTTTTGACTGCTGACTTGCATAGCTTGATGTTCTGGAATGTCCGCATGCACCAAGTTCATCTGGGACCGAGGCGCTCTTTGATGAGACATCTGCAACACGTGCAAGTCAGATACTGTTGCTAAAGCCAGCTTTGTTATTACTTGGCCTGTAATCTTGACTAGACTCAAAGGTCAGATGTCCCAGAGGGGTTAGGGACTTGATACTGGTTTTCTACAAACCCTTTGAACATTCAAGTGCTGCAAAAATACCATGTATGTTAACGAATATGCGTTCCTTAAAAAAATAAATCATAATACGTTTCTGTCTGAGTAAAACAGAGAGTACCATTGGGTTAGAAAGATTTGTATGAAATGTAGTTTTAGATTTGCCTACGCTGTAGACATTAAAGAGATCACCGTGCTTTCCGTAGTACCACAGTAGAATGGAGTGCTAGATCTTTCCTGGCTGAAAAAGTAACTGTGGTTAAGACAACTTAAGCTGTGTTTAGGGTGGAAATTAATAAGCTAAGAGCCTGAAGCTTGTAAAACAAACAAAAAAACCCAACCCCAAAAAACCCAAAGCCCTGCCCCAACCCCCAAATTTCAACCTGTAATAAAGTGTTTTAATAGTACTTTTTTCTAATAGTCTAAATTTCAGAGTAACTACTTCAATTTTAAACAATACCGAGAACTTTTAGCACTCAAAACTTACTCAGTTACGCATATCCCTATGATTCATATGTTGAAAATGAAGGGCCAAATTAAATGCTCAGTCAAAATACAAATCCAAAGCAAATCAAGAAATGCGGCACACAGAAAATGAAAGATCTTAAATGTTAAAAAGAAGGCAGACTATCAATCCAATTTCTATTCTTTCTTTCCATTAAATAAACCATTACTGAAGTAAAAAAGAGGTTCCACTGATGTTATCTAGGCGAGTGTGTCTCAACAAATCACCGAAGAAGGTCCCTTTGTGGGCCACCTGTCAGCATCCCTTTAAGTTCTGAAGTATTTCGTGCATCTCCTTGAAGCTACGAAGCCAGTTATAAAAGAACTGAGAAATTAAAAGCATTATTTTATACCTGCTATGCCCAGATGTACTACTTTTAAGTTTTCTCCGCCCTTCCTGTCTTCATGCAAAGATTCTGATTCTCCAGCAATTGCTATGGACGTTGCTGTGGAGGGAGGCCTGTAAGAAAAAGGTGGTTAAGATTCGCTGTGCTTTTGCTGTAATCCCTCCAAATTGATCAGCACAGGTTTTTCTTTTCACGTAAGTTGGCATAATTCATACTGTGCTTCAAGTTAATCGGCTTGTAACTTTGTTCTGAAAACATGCTGCCGAGCCCCCGTTAAAAAGAAAAAGAAAAAAAAAACCACCTTTTGCTATTGAGCTTCAGGACACTTTACAGAATCCGTCTGCTCAGCCCTCCGTCCTTCAGGCCTCTGGGGATCCGTGGAAAGACTTTTCCTTCTCTGATGATTGGTGGAGTGATACGTGTTTATTTTGAAGTTCTTGATTTTTTTTTTTTTTTTAAGTGTATGAATCACAGGATAATTTACGTGCTAAGAATATAGATAATTCAGTACTTCATGGAAAACATGCCAAGATGGTAAGTTAAAAAAACCACCAAACCTGCACAACGACAGTTGCCCTACTTGGCTCGTGCACCGTGACGTACTCCTGGCTTTGTTTCATCTCTGTTACAGTACACGAGGAGATTCTGGGCTGATAACCCTCCCACTCCTAACAAAGGGGCCTATGTTACCATCTCCGCGTATTCCCCGCTAAATTCTACCTCCTGCACATTAAGAAAAGCATCATGTACGATACAATTTAAATTTGGTTCAGTATTAGAAAAGCTTTTAATAAAGCTTAAGTGCTTGTTTCAGTTTATACCAAGACCCAAAGGGATATTTTAATTAAAATGAATAAACCTCTAGGTTTGTGTTTCGCTGGTGCAAAAGAAACTAGAAAATGACGAATCTTCTCTTGCAAGCAAATACAACTAAAACACCTTTCAAAACGTTACCTACGGGTTTTTTAATGCTTTGTTGGTTTCGACTTTGGGAACAGTTTGTCGGTCTGCATACAAATGGATATTTGTTGACATTTCTAAGATTTCACATATTCAATAAATTAGTCACTGTCTATGTACAGGAACGTATCCCCTCTTACGTTACGTTTGAAAGTTTTTTGGGAAAGAGAAAGAGAAAAAGCACTTCTGGAAATACAATGCTTGTGTGATTTAACTGCCTAACATACTTTTGAAAGCAAGGACCGAGTGCTTTCAGGGATGTCACCCCAGATCAAACATCAGGCCTCCTAGGCTTCTTCATAAAATATGTAGCTGATTCCAGATTGTGAAACTGTTTTAAGGTTTATTTTTCCTTCTACGGAGAACATCTGGATTAGATAAAATTTTTGTTTTGTTTGTGTTGGAAGTTTGCGTTCCAGGAAATGGTTATATCATCAGTTTGGAAGAAAATGCCAAGTCTGAATAATTTCAGTTAGAGATTTTTTCCTAGGGAACCAGAAAACTAGTTAGGTACTAATTTCAACTACTTTGGTACCAGCCAGTAAAGAACAGATATACATTGTTTTGTAAGTACACAAGACTGACGATTGGCTAGTTGCCTTTGAGAAATTGTTTATCAGTATCAGTGATGTATTTGTTGATAGGTCTGACCCGAAGTAAATCAAGAGGTGCTAAATAACTAGGGATACAGAAAAGCTTTGCCCAATCAAACAAATTCAGATAATACCCTCTTACTGTTTATTCAGTAAGCACAAGACGAGATTTCAGAGCGTTCTACTCTTCTTATTGAAGGTTAGAAGAAGAGAGGAGAAAGGGCCTTTCGTGGCACAGGGGGACATTGAAGAGTTCCTGCAGTGAATCACCTGAGCCAGACTGGTGCAGGCAACGTTCTCAGATCGCCTCAGAAACAGCGGCAAGGATACAGCCACAGCAGTAACGCACAAAGGTTTTTTCTTTGCTACAGGAAACAGTTCTCGATTCTCCTAATAAAACCTACAAACCATGAGTTACTCCATACTCGCACCTCAGACTGAGTTAGGAGATCACGCTGCTTTTCTTGGGCTGCAGCCTCATTTCACTTTAAACACAATGGTTTTTACCTAAGAAAGGCTTCAGTATATGTTTACTGCTACTGATTAAGCCCGTATGAGATTATTATCCCTCTTCATTGGATTATTCAGAGGGACATTGATTGCCTACATAATCTGATAAAAGATTAGTTTAAATTCAGTTTATGAGAGTTTTGAATAAAAAAACTAATCCGTACTGAAGTAGAAGTGTTTTAGTGTAGCAGTTGGTCAGTAAGCGCTGTATCTTTACAATGGAAGATATCTTTGATCCAACGTAAGGTCTGAAAGTATAAATGAAAGTTGAGAACCTACACAAAGAGTTGAGATTGACCTAACAAGGGTGAAGCCAGCAATTTTTTTCCAGATTGTTTTCCTTAAGCTCATTTCTTCTTTTCAAGTTATATGTAATACTTGGAACGCTGCCTTAGATTGTTTTTGAGAAGGCTGACATGAGAACAGGCATGTTGTCTCAGACCAGAGGTCTGTCTTGCCTTGCGTCCCGTTTCTGTCAGGAGCAAACAACAGATGCTAAGAGAATATGGCACACGTAGTAATGTATCACCTGAATATTCTTCCAGCATCTCCGCATCTGTAGCTTAGGTATTTCTTGAGCCTCGTAAGATATTTTGTACTTAACAGCCCTCAATAATTTTTTTTATTCAGGAATTTGTCTTGATTCTTTCTTGAGCTTTTAGTATTCACAACGCATAGTAGCAAGGAGTTCCACAGCTTAATTGCATGTTGTGGGAAGAAAATACATCCTCTCATTTTGATTCCATCTCCTACTAGTTTCAGTATAACAGCATGGGCAATGAAGTGAACTGAAGAAAAATTTGAGTTAAACTAGAACTTAAGGGATCAAATTTATTTTGAAGGAATTATTTCATCAACCCCTCCCCCAAACATCTTGTGACAAGTAAAATACAACTAAGTTGGTTTAAACCTGACCTAGATGAAATTGCCATCTACTGTCATGTAGAGTTAGAAAAGATTGACATTAAACTGAAAAGCACATACACTTTGAACAACCCAGTCTACCAACATTCGAAATTACGGAAAAGCAGTGGCATTAAGAGTCTTGGCAAGTATTGAGGAATTTTCCACACTGCATTCATGGAAGCAGATTCTATACATATCTCTAAGCCTATCCTTAAAATGAATGGCATTTAGGTTATTATGAAATATCTCTTGTAATACAGATGACATGTGAGAGTTCTTCACTTCCTACTGATCAGGATAATTAAGTCGTGGTTAGCAAGATAGTGGTGTTCTCTGGAAACAGGGAGCTTGCCAATTGCACTGCTTCCGCTGAGCTTGGGTGCCTCCTAACAAAATGGCTTATTAGTCTGGAAAGAAGGCAACAGTTTCCTCTCACTCATGACTAGGTTTTCCCTAGCACGCGTGATTTTTCTGTCCTGTGGTTAGTTATGGAAGCTAACGTGCTCTAGCAAAACCGTTACATTTCCTTAACTACAGATTAAGGACAGTGAGGCCAAAGGATCCTGAATGCGTAGCAGTGCATTTTCCTAGCTATCGCCCCCTTCAGCTGTTACCTCGTGCATCTTTTACTAAGTTGCATAATGTCTTTGCTAACTAAATATCTGAAAGTGCTTTCTCTTGTACTGAATCCTTTAAAATCATCTGAGACTTGTGAATAAAAGGTGTAACAGCACATTCTCCAAACAAAAGTATTAGTCACATCACCCCATACCAAGTAGGTTTATACAAGCTTGCTGCAGGAAGAGTTTCCCTTAAGTGTTTCTTTTATTTTTATTTTTCTTAATTACAGATGGACATAGTTCTCCTTGCTGTTAAATAGTATATTTTCAAGCAAAGAGTACTATGATACTTCTACTGGTATTTTTACCACGTGAGCCATTATTCAGCTACCATCCCATTTTTTTGTGTGTGTGTCCCCCTTTTTTTTTTTGTAATATTATTGCCAGATTGGAGAGATTTATAAACGCAAATTAGAAGTGTCATTCTGAACATGGAATGTAGGACCAAAACACTATCCCACACAGATTTTTTTATAGACTTACGTTTTAAAGCATGGGTCTCCAGACATTAGCTGCATGTTGATCAAAACCTACACATAAGAAAACAAAATCCACTGTAAGAAAAAATATGGAATTGGTCTGTGATACATGGTCATGTCACTAAGTTACACTTGCCACAAATCTTACGTGTAAGTGAAATAAAATGGCATCGTCACATACGCAAACACACATGCAAAAAACTACATCTTTTTTCTTAGTACACATGCAAGCAACACAAAATAGCATTTAAAGTAACACAGTTGCAGGTACAAGATTCTGCAAAAGATACACAGATCAAGAAGAATCTTAGAATCCATAATAGTTAAGATGGCGTCAAGGGAAAAAGAGAGAGACGGGAAATCTAAAAGATTAATGAGTAAACAGAATATTGTTTAAAACGGTGGGTGCTGAAGTATGTTCTTCGCTGAGAGTGTTTAGCAAACTGCTAGCATACCAGAACTGGCTGTGCTAACATCAGAGATAAAGCAAAACCACAGAAGGTAAATAATGCCGTAGGACAGCAATGCATTGAGAAGGCTTGTTAGCTGGGTCGAAGCCGTCAATTAAAAGTTTTCTGGAAAAAGTCTATGACTGTCTTAAAGAAATCAGAAAGTGCATGCTGAAATGGGGTACTCAATAGTATGAGAAATTAATCCTAGTGCCTTGGTAGGAAAAGAAATTTTTTACAAATTTACTTGTAACGTTCTGTATGTAATTATTTTCAGGTTAATGCAGCTTATTCAATTTTTTAAACTCCCTGGACTGATGGGAGAGAAGGGCAGGGTGGGTTTCTTCCAGCAGTGCTCGCCAGTTGTTACACTGATCACCGTCAGACAGGAAAGTTCCGGAGTCACGGAGGTGTTGAAGCTGGCTTATACATAAATAAGCCAATGAAGAGATTCACTCTTAAAAAAGCTGCAGAGGAAGTTACCCAGTCTTAAAGATATAATTGCTACGTTTGTATGAACGTATTAACTTTTTCGTCGAGCTTCCCTATTCCATTTTTCAATTCCTGTTAGAATAGGGATACCTTTTGAAAGCTTTTCCTTTACAGCTATCCAGCTCCCTTTCAAAGAGTGTGGGACAAATTCTGTTTTTGACTGCATGGATTTCGGTGATTCTCTCTAAACAACACTGGTGCTTTTACTTTAAATAGTTTTCCTTCTAGAAAGAGGTTCAGCAAGTATGTTTTAAATTTCATTAAGTGCTTAATAATACCACTTGTTCTCTGCTTTGTTAGTTTAAGTAGGATAAAGGAAACAAGTTACTTTGAGAATGGAGTTGTCCTGTCTTGTATTTTTGGTATCATAACCTTCCAGTAAACAGCGACGAGTGGTATTTCCCGATCCAGCAAACTCTGCTAGATTTAGATCTGCAAATCCCAGCTGTTAAGAGAAGGTGACAAAGTTAGTAGTGAGCGTACTACTAAATGAAGGTACTTGCTACAGGCACAGTATTGAGTGCCACTCCACAGCAGTTTCTCTCAAATATGAATAAAAGGATGCTCGTTAAAGGGAGTGGCCCAAGGCAAAAAAGCAGAAAAAAACTTGGAGCGTCAAATTCTGCACAGCTCTATTGTCAGTTAAAAATGAAAGCCTCGAGAGAAAAGAGAACAGGGAGAGTTTTCTTTATTTCTAAAGTAAACACATGCAGAAGGGTTTACCTTTATCAACCCTTTCAACGTACTAGATTGAAAGAACAAAACATTCTGGTGGTATAATACTATTATATACTTATTAAACACCCTGATGGAGAGTTCCAACACCACTGTGTCACTATAATGCACATAATGAAATCATGGGTATTAGAGTGCTATTCTGGAATTACTTTAAAAGGGCATTAAAATGACAAGAAAGAAAAGCTAATTCGCAGGCAAAATTAGATACATCTCAATTTACCTTTGCGTATGCCTTTCCTCCTTTTAACTCCTAGAAAAAAAGACAACAAGACGCGCCGTTAAGCCATTAAAGATACTGACTGGGGTTTTTTTTTGTTTGTTTTGTTTTTTTTAGAAAAGCAAATACTAATCTTCATTTTAAAATAGCTCAACACGCATTTGCTAGGCTATACTGTTGTCACGTAGAAGCTGGCATTACTAATGTCCTCGGTGCAGGCCAGCGGGAGACTCTCATCTTGCGCGGGGGGAAGGGCGAGGGCCTGATGCCGACCAGCATTTGGCTCTTGCAGAGTCCAGCCCCAAAGGTAGGAGGTGCAGCATACGAAATCCTGGTACTTAGCACAGTTCAAGGCTTCTAAGTTTACTGCTGCTCGCTAGAAGTATCTGTCAAGGGCTAACTTTATAAAGGCTGATGAGCGATTCCTTTGCCATCCTGCTGGAAGAGGTGTTCTTTTCAATAAGAACATAAAACCCCATGAATTAGGCAAACTAAGGCAATTAATAGGATGACTACGAAATTCTGACTAGAAGAATACCTGACATGATTGCAGCTAAAATTTGCTTTAGGAAGTTTATCAGACAGTTAAAAAT